AGGAACACTGCTTTTCTATCCTGAATTTGCTGTTCCAATTTCTCCTTTAGCTTCTTGCAAAATGCCCTTTTGCCTCCTCCCCAGCCTGTCTTCCCCACAGTCTGCCTTGCTAGAAGCATCCTACCCCACTTTGCGGTGGGGTTTCCATAGTTCATAAACTGCTTGTGTTGGGGAAAATGATTCTCTTTACAAAACACCACAAGCCGTTATGATGCTGCTTGTCATAATTATGGACTACATAAACAGCCTTGGCAGATCTACAGCCAGCTCAGGTCAGAGGTAGAGACTTTCTACCTGCTAAATGCAAGTTGGTCTGATGGTATTAAAGCAAGCACTGAATAAAAATCCCCTCCCTCTACAGGTCTGGTCAAAGCAGAGGACAAGGCGAAAGCCCATCGAGCCAAGAAGCTGGAGGGGAACACCAACATGGAGGAGCTGAAAAAGAAACCCCCAGGAGCTGGCGTGAAGAAGGAAGCGGCTGTGCATCTACCAGCAGGTGAGACTGGTGAAGGCAAAGCACAGGCAGCAGCTCTGCTTGCAGCTTAGCTGCTTAGCAGCTCAGTCGTGCGGTCTGCTCTGAGCCTGCACATCCCCACCTTCACGCCATGGTCCTCACCTTCACCTGTATGCCTCCTGACCCAGTGGGCTGTTTGCTGGGTGAGATTTCTAGCAGATTGGTGAGCAAAAGCAGCCCGTAATCAAAAGTGGGAGCATGCAGCTCCTGCCCTTTTGAGGTTTAGCACAGATGTGGGGACAGCCGCTGCTCCTAACATACTGGTGCAGCCACAACTAACATCCCAAAAGGGGTACCCTATCTTCGCCTCGCTGCCAGGACAGACTGCTGCAAGAGTTGGGAGATGGTAGCCAAATCCTGGTTTCAGTGTGCCCACGGTTCAGGTCAGTGCCTGGGATGGTGGCATTTTTCTAACATTATCTCTGTGAATGATGCCAGCACATAGCTCTGGGCATAATTATGTCTTCTTTGAGGTGCAGCCTACACCCCAGCACAGGTTGCTGACTTTCCTTGGGACCTCTGACAGCAGGAGGAACACAGGATGTGCAAGATAAACACAGCTGCAATGCCTTACACTGCTTTCAAATTCAAATAAACGGCACTCTGATCTCACAGCAGCCGTGCAAAAGCAACCAAATAAACAGACTTGGTGGATTTTATTCAGACCGAGCTTCCCTTGCTGGAAGCCCAGCACTGTTCTGCTGAGAACACGGCATGAACTCTAGACCTGGGAGCAGGTTTTGGCCCCACGTATCTCTTATTTTGGGGTTTTTTTTAAGCTGGTCACAGCCATTCAAATAAACACATGCCTGGAAGCTAGCACTCCCCCAGCTGCCTGTGTTTTTGCTGGGAAGAGGGGTGCCAGGGAAGCTTTCCAGGCACACGTCCGGATGGAGCCGAGATGTTCACCTTTGTTTCACTCCCGCTAATTGTTTTGTTTGGCAGGGGAGAGTTACTCCACACAGGGCAAGATGAGGTGGCCGAGGGCATCATCATGTTTTAACTCTCAGTGTGCAGGATACCAGTGGGGTTAGAGAGGCGAACCTTCTTTTCCCTATGAAATGCTGGCAGGTCAGGTAACTCCACATGAAGTGGCCCAGTGACCCAGTTTGCTCAGGCAGCTGCAGGAGCTGTGGGGCAGGCAGAGCTGCGAGTGCCTGCGTGGTTTGTGTCTGGTTTTGGCTGGGCCCATGCCTGGGAGAGGATTTCTCTCTCTCTCTTTTTTTTTTTTTTTTTAACATCAGGAACTTTCCCCACTTCAGTGCTTTTCAGCATAGCAAACCAAGGCTTATGACAGCACTCTCCTCTGCCGAGCAGCCCAGGCAGGTTGTGGTCTCTGTGGCTGGGTGTAACACCTCTCTCCTCTCCCTCGCCAGCAAATCCTGAGGACCAGTGGCAGCGGGAGATCAGCGAGAAGGGAGAAGTCGCCTGTCCAACCTGCAGCGTGATAACCAGGAAAACTGTTGTGGGGCTCAAAAAGCACATGGATGTCTGCCAGAAAGTAAGGACTTGCTTTATTCGATCACGCACATATGGATTTTGGAGGGGAATGGATGTGTACATGTGCCACTCATAAATGTGTATTGGTGCTCCTAAAACCAGTTCTGTGCTGTGTTCGATAGAGCACTTGCTAGTCGTCTTCAGAGCTGGCTGCCTCACATTGATTTGGAGGGATTTGAACACCTAATTCTGAGCGATTCTGAATCCCTTTGTGGTCTGGGCCCCTTACTCCTGTGTCTCCAGCAGAGTCGGGTATTTCTAGTAGCTAAATTAATAGTTTTAAGGCTGGAGAGATTGTTGGGGTTGTCTCTAATCTGGCCTCCTCTGGAGTCCTGGCTGTGGGATTTCACTGTGTGCCATGCCTTGCATCAGGCCAGATAAATTGTGGTTCAATGAGAGCATGTCTCGGGGAGACACTGAGCTTGGGTGTGCTCAGGCAGGCTGTCAAGACACAGGACTTCAGTAATGGTTCAGTGAAAAATTGTCTGTCTGCCACACCGCTGTCCATCGGAGCACAGGATTACGTCTTCATCCGTCACCTGGCGTGGTGCGAACCCATTGCCACAGAAAGCCAACGTGGGATCGATGCCTCCCGCTTTGAAAATATGTGGCTCAGCTTTGATTCCACATTCATTTTCTGTAAATGCCTCCTCAGCCTTTGCCTAGCTATTTATACAGCAGTGGGAGGCTACTCTCCCTTTCAAACCCCATACTATATCGATGTCGGGCAGAATCCTGCCTCCTCTGATGTCCTCCCGGCTTCAGTGGAATGGGGATCTTGGCCATCACTGCTCATATCTCCTGTGCTTTGGAGCATCTCCCAAGCCAGGTAGGCTCCACGTGAGCTGCATGGCCAGCTGGGCTGCTGAGCACAAGTCTGCCAGATCAGTCAGACCTGTCTTCCCCTCTATAAATAGCCCAGTGGCCGTTCAGCCAAGGAATCGGGGCTTCAGCCCAAGGAGCGGGTGATTTGTCACCTGTCCCTGGGAGGCACGGTCCTTGCTGCGGCTGGCTGTGCCGCTGCAGGAGCTGGGGTGCTTTGCAGTGTCCCTGCCAGAGCAGCCTGTGGCCCAGGGAGGACAGTCCCCAAGCTCTGTGTGTGTGACCACAGGCCCAGCTCGCAGTATTTCATCTCTGAGATGAACCTATGGCACATCCTTAGCAAGGCTCCGCGGCTACGGGCACATGGTATCCCCATCAGAAGTGACCCTGGAGTGCAGGCACCCTCTCAGCTTGCTCTGTTTTAATGACTGAAGTATTTCTTAGCTGGACAGTGGGAAAAGGATATGCAGGCTCCCAAAACTCGTGTAAAACAACAGAAATGGGTTCCTCCATTCCTTGCTTGTCACTAAGCAGCCTGCCCTGTTTCCTTCAGTTTTGGAAAGGAAATAAGGGACGGGGATGGTTGCAACATGCTTGGGCCCAAAGGAGATGAGGGCAGGTATATCCTCCCAGCATCCCCGCTGGGAGGCCTTGTTAGAATATGGACACAGCATGTTCTTCAGTGTTGACTAGAGAAGTAAATCCCAAATTGGCTGGCATTGGCATCTGATGAGTCAAGGAGCTTTTAGCATCCACATTGTTAGGATCAAGCGCTTGGGTCTGGAGCAAGATTAACTGACAGGAGCACAGGTACAAGTGAGTCATTCCCAGCTGGCTGCAGTGACTTTATTCTTCATTCCCCAGAGCTCCAGGATGAGGAGGGATTTGCAGCTCCATCTTCATTCCCTCTCCAACTTCTAGTCCTTCCCCAGTCACTCAGGAGGCCAAGTCGGGTCAAACAGCAGAGCAGGATGAGGCGGGAAGTATTTTGCTGTGATCGTGTCCAGCAGTGTCTTAATTTCAAACAGCCCAGGCACCCAGAAAGCGTATCGTATGCCAGCATCTGCCGTAGTTCATAGGACTGCAGAGCACAGTCCGCTAACATATTGGTAGATCAAAGCGTCTTCTCTTTCCTCACCCTTTAACAGGAAGTCTAAGACACCAGGTCCAGATGTTTCCAGCCAGTGGGGCTTTAAATCTACATCCAAAACGGAATGTTTTCCAAAAATTGGGGCATGTGGGTTTGATAACAACATCCAGGACAACAGAGAGAAAACTCTGAGCTGCAGGCTGGGATTGGGATGGGGGACAGGGATGCTGCGTTGCCTGCTGGGTCCCACTGCCGGGTACTGCTGCCCCTGGGGCTTACTGACAAGTGGCAGCAGCCCTCGGGAAAATGAGCGGTGGGCTGTGGCCTCCACGGTGACTTGCCTTTAATTCCTTCAGCTGCAGGATGCCTTGAAGTGTCAGCACTGCAAAAAGCAGTTCAAGTCCAAAGCTGGGCTGAATTACCACACCATGGCTGAACATGTCAGCAAGGTAAGAGAGCTGGGCTGCTCTCACCTCGCGCCTCGTTTCTCGATGCAGATGCAGAAGACCAAGCAATCGGCAGTCCACGTTCCTTTGCTTTTGTAAAGGAGGGATTCACAACATTGTCTTTGCAGCATTTCACATAGTGCTTAGCCTTCCCCCTTCCCTGCCAAGCAAAGCCATTCCTTCCCAGGCAGCTAGTTAGGCTTACCGTGATCCCAGGGAGTAGAGCAGAGGACTGGAAAAATAAAATAGGATTTCAAATCCCAGAACAGGGGAAGATTTAGTGAGTACAGTGAGACAGATTTTGAGAGGCAAAGCTTCTGCCTCCAAAACTGTGCCCATGGATCCGGGACTGATGGGTTCTGCCTTGCACGAATCTCAAAATCCAGTCTTTAGCTCTCTACCATGTATGTGAGAAGTAGCCACAAAATTCATCATGAATAAAATCTGGCGGGCACCAATTTAGATGCTGTTCTTAAAAATCTGGTCGTGTACCTCTCCAGGATACCAGGGCAAGGCATAAGCACATTTCTACATGTCCTGTGCTTATCAGTTGTGACTTGTCTTTTACCTGTGCATTAATCTCCTGCTCTTCAGTCTGGCTAGTGAATCCTCTGTGCAGGAACTGCTCATGGGTTTCTCAGCTGGCCCTTTGGGTGCAAACACGGGAAGGCATGAGCAGATCTGGCACCTAGCTATGAAGGCGTTGGCATACGGTAAAGCAGTGGGAGATGCAGCTCTTTTAACGAGAGGATCCCCCTGGCCAAGGGCAGCTCCTGCGAGGCAGAGGTTTGCCACCCACTCCTGGCACAGAGGACATGAGTAAATGGTTGACTCTGTCGCTTCTGTTACTTCCTTGTTTCCAGCCTGTTCCTGTGGAAACTGAAGAGCGGGAAAGGCTGAGGAAAGTGCTAAAGCAGATGGGAAAACTGAAATGCCCCAATGAGGTACGAGAACGATTCCTGTTTCTCGTTTTGTGAAGAGGCGGAAGGAGTGAGTCCCGATGCAGAGGGGGATGTGCACTCTCCAGGCATCCCTTGGCACATGCTCGACTTTTCCACCTTAGCTCAGCCATCCCGGTCCCCATCCCCCTGGCTCCGTGTGCCCAGCGACAAGCCATCCCGGCAGGAGGGTGGGCATAGGGCAGGTTGAGGAGTGCTGAAGGACAGGTTCTGCTTCCTGAACTCAGGAAGGGGCACAGCCGGTGCTGTCCTGGGCACAGTGTAAAACTAAACCAAACCGCACCGAAAAACGGTCACGAGCTGGTGGCAGACAAGTCACGAAGAGGTAACAGGGGCGTGTGGCAGAGGTTTGTCCCCGCGGATGCTTTGCTCTCCATGCAGTCAGTGCCTCCCCACCGCCTTCCCCTCCCGCTGCCCACCATGCGTCTGTCCAGGGAGCTCTGTCGGTGTGTTGGGGCAGGTAGCGCCAGGGACAGGGCTGCTCCCCCTCCATGGCACTGTTGTGCCCATGTGTGGGTCTTTGGGGGCGAGGGGCCGGCTGGGGGACGGGTTCGTGGAGCTGCTCTGTGGAGGGGGCTCCTCAGGACGGGTTCCTCCCTGGAGCAATGGTACCTGACCCTTTCAACACAGGCACATGAAGCCCCAGCCTTCCCTAACCCTCTCCTTCTCCCCATCTCCATAGGGCTGCGTGGCCAACTTCTCCAGCCTGATGGGGTACCAGTACCACCAGAAGCGGTGTGGGAAGCAGCTCGCTGAGGCTGACAAGCCTGTCTTCAGCTGTCCACACTGTGGCAAGAAGTACAAATCCAAGGCTGGCCACGACTACCATGTGCGGTCAGAACACACGGCCTCGGTGAGCCCCCCGGATGCCTCCACAGCCCGAGGAGCGGGGCCGTCCCCCCCTGGGGGTGACTGCAGAGCTGCAGAGCCTGTGGGCAGGACAGAGCCGGGCAGGGCCGGGCCGGGCAAGGCAGGTGCAGACGTCGGACCGATGTTGTTTTCTCCCTCACGTTATCACGTGCGCGTGTTGTACCATGCAGTGTCGGGGGGGAATGGGCTGCAGCCCTCTCTGCCCTTCCAAGAAAGCGGGGAGCTGCATTTAGGGGAGCGGAGCGGTTGGCAGCATTCCCTGTCCCTGCTGCCCGTGGGGCTGTGCTCCAGCCCACCCTGCATCCATGCTCTGCAGGGAGACAAAAAAAAAACGGATCCTGGGCTGCTCCCTCAGCAGCAAGCAGGCACTGGCTGCTCACCAGCACTGGGGTGGCAGGATCTGTCCCTTTCTATTCTGTTGATCCCTGCTGACAGTGCATCCGATGCTAATAACTGCCTAACTAATAAATGGAGATGGTGATACACGTGGGAGCATGAAAGGACGCAACCAGTCTAATGCATGGCTGTCTGCTGGGCTGGGGAAGGCGGGGTGCTGCCCTTGTTCCCGTGCTTGGGTGCAGAGTGTCTCTGCAGCCCCCACTGCAGCCCAAAAACAGCCCAAACCCCAGCATCCCCGTCCTGGGGCCAGAGAGCTCGCCTCTTCTCCCCTCATCATGCCCTTCCTGACTCTGTCTCTGTTGCAGCCTCCGGAGGAGCCAGAGGTGAAGCCAGAGCCTCACCCCATAGAAGATTTCGAAAGGACCCCGAGCGGCCGCATCCGTCGGACGTCAGCCCAAGTAGCCGTCTTCCACCTTCAGGAGATAGCGGAGGACGAGCTCGCCAAGGATTGGACCAAGCGGAGGATGAAGGACGACCTGGTGCCTGAAACGAAGCGGGTGAGAAGCCTTTATTTCTCCCGTTTTTTACACTAGCTGTATGCGGAGATCCTGAGATGCTAGTGTGGCCCCAGCTGGCTGTGGCCTCACGTGTCTCATTTTCTGTGCCTTAAATCAATTAGCTGTGATGGCAAATTTACTGCTAAAGAGCCCACCCAGCACAGGCTGAGACCCAGTGATCTGGAGGCTCCATACAAGCCTGGCAACACGCAGCTTTGCCCTTTCCACTGCCAGGACCCAGATATAAATGGAGCAAAAGGTGGTGCTTTGTGAGCAGTAGAGAGATCGGAGTCCAGCCCAGAGGTGGTTGTGGAGGGAGGTCAGTTCTGGTCTGTGCTCAACAGTGAAGTAAGGGCTGACAGCCAGGAGGAGCACGTGAAAAGAGCAGAGGTTGGATCTGAAAGAATCTCCCTTGTGCTGTCAGAGAGCAAAGAAGCCCCAGACAGAACTTCCTGCCTTCCATGTCTCTTCCTTAATTTCTGGGAGATTTTTCTCTGGAGGTAAAGAGCCCACAGCATCACTAGAGCAGTGGTCCTGCGAGTGGAGGAAGCTGGAGTGTGGAGGCAGGGCTGAGCCCTGCAGGCTTCAGGAGTGATGCATGCATGGCCTGGGGCAGCAGGATCTGTGCAGCGAAAGTTGGCAGTCTTGAGCTTTGTGGAGGCATTGGAGTAACATGTTAAATTAAACATCCCTCCTGGCTGTGGGAGGAGGTCCCAAAATCCCTGGGAACGTCCCAAAGCTGAATTTCCCTCCAGGAACACTCCTTCTGGACCTTAAAAGGAATGAATCAGCAGCAAATCTTAAACCTTTTTGGTGTAAAAGGAAAAAAAAAAAAAGAGAAGGAGTCAGAGTTTTTTAATCCTGTGGTCAATACCTTTTGACCAGCGCTGGGACTCAACGCAGAGCCATCCTGCAAGTCACTGCACCAGCTGCATCCTGTTTCTTGAGCAAGCAACTCTGCGGTTAGGTGCCAAGTCTTTTCCTTGCTCTGAACAGTTGGGTATCTTGTCCAGTGCTCCAAAATTCACCCTGGGCAGGATATTGGGCACATTGCAATGATGGGAGTGAGGAGCAGAGGGCAGTAGGTTAAAGCTTTGCCACAGCAGGAGAGTGTGGCAGTGCCTCTGCCGTGAGTGTGCGGAGCGCAGGACGGCCCCAGCCCAAAGGACCTGCCTCCAGCCAGGAAAACAGCCCAAGTCCCAGAGCCCGCCTGGAGAAGCGATGCGGCTTGCCCCAGGAAAATGGGTGGCATAACAGCAGAACCTCAGCCGAAATGCCTTCCTGCTGCTGCAGCCTGTCCCACGCTGTGCTGGCACGTGTGTGCTCCAGTGGAGACCTGGAGGAGCTCAGCCTGCCTCAGCTCCAGTCTGCGTGCGGTGGGAAGGTGAAAAACCAGCACACAAAGCAACCAGCATCTTCTTTACCCACCTTGCCATCCTGGCGAGGCGACTGGCGCAGAAGGGGATCCGGCCACGGTGCTGCCATCTGCGTTGGAGCAGAGCTGGGGGTTTTAGGGCCAGAACTAGTTGCAAAGTTTTTATTTCCCTGATGCTTGGTGTTGTCGTTGTTGGTTTCCAGACAACTTCAGCTGCAATGCATTTATAACGTAAAAAAGTCAAACCCAAAGTAGCTGTTTCATTTCAAATACTGTGGGAGGAGAGGTGTGGTGTTCTCTTCTCCCCCCTCCAGCCTCAGCACTTGCATTCCTCTCTTTCCTCCCCGAATTGCTCCCCTTACTCTTGACTTTGGGTATTTTCTGTTTGCATTGAGGGAGCAGCCAGGAGTCCCAGGCCTGGACAAGGGGCCCATGTGCAAGCTGACATACAAAGGCATCATAAAGGTCTCAGCCACTGGCATAATTTCTCCATGAAATGCTGTTTGCGGTGGTGGGGTTTTTTATGAGACATTTCTTGCATTTAGAGTCTAATTGTTTAAGTTTAATTGAGCCCCATCGCGGCACTAAAAAAACAAAGAGAATTGCTATGAGGTTGGCGGAAGCAGGTTTGCATCGGAGATGAGTAAGGGGGGAGTTCGACCAGCTCCCAAGTGGCAAAACAAGGCTCCGGGGCTGAAGGATTGGGACCTCGGGCCCAGCACGGGCTGCTCTCCCTGGCTGTGCTGGCTGTGTGTCGCACAGATGGATTTCAGAGGAGGTCAGTGCAGTGGGCGAATACGTATGTAGCCATGAGTGTGCCTGCGGGTGCGTCTTGCAGTGACTGTCATGTTCCCTTGACAACATTCTAAAATATAATCTGTTCAGTCTATGACATTTTTTCTCGATGAGTGATGCTGGAAGGAGGTGGGAGGCAGGTTCTGCCTGGGGAGGCTGGTGGGAGCTTGCTGACTTCAGCATGTTTTGTGCTGCTCTGCTGCGCAGCGTCGTGCATTGCTCAGGACTGGTCTACGTTTGCAAGTTCCTTCAGTTCAAGGTGCAGAAAAAAATCCTCGCAACTGCGAGTGACCCAAACACACCAACAAGTGCCCAGTTTGACCCTCTTACAGCCCCAAAAATAACCCTTCCCTCAGGACTGGCTTCAGCCGTGCTGGCAGGACGGCTCTGTGGCGGGTCCAGCCCCAGGCAGCGCAGGAGGCTCGGAGGAGCGGGCAGCGTCCCCACGTCCCCATGCCACCGCCCTGCTGAGCGCATGTGGTGACTGTCCCTCCGAGGGAGCTGACAACCCGGAGCCACCAGAGCAGCAGAAAGACAAACACTAGTTAACCGTGACCGGGGTGGTAGGACTGATGTTCCCAGAAGAACTGCCACGCCATCACCTCTTCTTCCCACGGACCGTATCCAGCCATTGGGAGTGCGCTGCCGGGCCCGCAGACCGCCTCACTGGCTTGGACCTGGAGAGAGGTGGGATGTCAGGGATCGGCGGCAGATTTCAACTGCTCCTGTGCCTCCTCGGCAAGATCTGGGGATTTCCAGGGTCCTGGAGGGACGGACGCTTCCCAGCTCCACTCTGTAACCCGTGATGGCTGGATGCAGCCGGACTTGCTGCAGCGCAGGACCCGCTCCATCCCCGAGCTCTCCAGGACCATCACGGTCCCAGCAGTCAATGTGGATTTCAAGGGAGCTGATGAAGAAAGCCACCCCTCCTCTCTATCCCTTCTTCAGGCAGCGAAGCTTTTCCCCAGGGGAAGGCAAGCTGATGGGATACGGGGGTTCGCAGCCCCCCAGCAGGCAGCCCCTGCCCCGTGGCCTGGCAGCCAGTCCCGGCTGGGGCCAAGGACATTGGGTCTGGATCCTGTTGGTGGCCCGTGGTGGGATGTGTTCGCCTTTCCCCGGGAGGACAGATTCCTTCGCACCAAAGCAATGGCATTAGAATAAACGATTGCTGCTCGATCCCAGGCCCTGCGCTGCCTTCATTCTGCGCTAACCAAATCCAGCATTTCTAAATATACACTGGAGTCTTATTTTCTCGCTCCGATCTTTATTTGCCTCTGGATAAGCTGAAACAGATGGGGTGTTTCACAACGGCCGCTTGCTGGGGATGTCAGATGGGGAAGGGCACACCCCTGCTGCTTTTCTGGGAAAAATCCCCTTTCCAGAAGCTCCATGAAGATGATGCCGATCCTCCAACCCCCCTCTGGCCTTTGCTGGGGCCGTCGCCTGCCCGTGAGCAGTCTTGGGGCTGCCACAGAAGGAGCGAGAGGCCGGCAGGCTCCCAGCTCGGTGGCGTGGGCAGGTGGTGGTGGGCTCTGGCATCTGGTGGGGGATGATGCCCTTACCCGTTTTGGCAGCCGGACTGAGAGAAAGAGCCTCCTTGAGCAGTGGGAAGAGGCATCTAAGTGGCAAGAGGGGAGAAAACGCCATGGAAATCCCACAGTTTTCCCGGTGTGATGCTTTCGCTGTAGAGCTCGAGGTGGGGTTGCTTGTTTTAAGGTGCCATGAGCTCTGGACTGGAGGTGGTGGTGGGCTCCTGCAGCCCAGGCGGCTGCCATGTTGCGCAGGGAGGGGTGCATCACTTCTCCGTGGGGTGCAAGGGCACCCTGTTTGCCTCCCCACAGCTCAGGCGCTGCTGCAGGGCTGGGGGCGGCCACGGAGGCTGCACTTCCCCATGGAGCCTGGGCGTTGTGTGACGGGGGTCCGGAGCACAGGGCTACCATAGGCCAGTCAAAGCTAAAAGGGAAAAGTCATCTCCAGGCTTGAGTTTTTAAGAAAACCCTGTCGTGGAACCAGAATAAATTCCAGAGCAGAAGAGCCTGGTTCAGGTTTGTCCCCCAAAACAATGGACTTGCCATCCAGGCGGGAGCCAGGCTGAGTCCTGCAGACTCATGTCACTGGTGGGCCAAACTAGATCCCAGCTTCGGCTGCGGACCTGGAGCTCGGCGGGGCCGAGTCCGTCCTTCCTCCCCTTGCTCAGCAGCGCCGGTGTGGTGTGACCCGGCTGCCAGCCAGCGCCCCAGGATGTGTTTTGGCTTCACCTCCCGGACGGCATCATCGTGGTTTCCATGGGGCGATGGGAGAGCCGTGCCCCGCGCTGGGGACCTCAGTAAGACTTCCAGGGGAGCTTGTTGGCCAGGGCTGAGGCAGCCTGCATGGTTCTCATTTACTGCGATATATTTTGGGGAAGGGGAGAGCTGTCTAGGGAGCAGAGAGGATTGAAATATGAAAGTTAATTAAATAAAACCATCAGTCAAAGAAAACAAGCCTTCCCACCCCAGCATCCTTCAACTGTTCAGAAGAGATGGGTTGCGGCCAAAACCAGTTGTAGTCGTTTAATGATTTGGCCATGAAGATTTTCACTTACAGGCTGTTTGAGGAAAATAAATGGAAAAAAAAATAAAATATTCCATGCCTGGGGCTCCCTCTTAATAGAGACATAAAGATGACTTTGACATTCCCAGAACCGCAGCGCCCCGGGAAGACATAGGATTTGCATGTTATTGTGCAGGGCTTTGGAGGAGAGCGGGGAGGGATTTTTCTGTGGAGTGGGAAGCCGGAGCAGCAGAGTCCGCATCTCTGAACATCCCCCCCTCATCTCTTCCCCAGGGATGCACGGAGGGAGAGGTTGTTGCTGGGGCTGTGTGTGGTTGCCGTTAATGTTTGCTCATTCATGGGATTGATTGGTTTTTAATTAAGGAGGCCGTTTGGCATCCTGGCTCTCAGTATCAGTGACAAGAAGGGACTCCTGTGTTCTGCCCCGGAGGTGGCATTGCCTTCCCCGGGCGGAGGACCAAGCGGTTGGTAGATGCACCATCCCAGCACTTCAGAGAGCTCTGCTGGCATCTCCCCCAGCCGTGAAGCACGGCCGAATAGCAGCACACTGGGGCTCGGGGGATTTTTCCACATCCGTCCTTACCAGCGGCCGTAGCCTTGTTTCGCAAAGCCCTTTGCCCCCTGCCCTTCGCGCGGAGCCCAGCTCTCCCTGGGCTCCCTTCTCCTCCGGCCATGCCCCGCTGCGTGCCAAAGTGGGGGCCGTGGGGGCTTGTGGATCACTTAAATTTGGGTGGAAACGAGCGGTTGCTGTCTGAGCCCTCCACATCCCCAGCCCTCGGTGGGAGCTCCCCATTGCAGGGAGGTTTGGGAGCAAACTGTCAGAGGGAGCTGGACAAAGGCAAATTCACAGCTTTATCAGCACGTTCAGGAAAAGTCACAGCTGGAAAACAAATCCAGCTAGCCGCCTCCCCGCCGCGTCGGAACCGCGAGCTCCGGCTCCTAGGGGCATGTTTTGAAAGCAGGGCCTGGGTTTGTACCTCTCTGCAAAGCACCGTTTCTCTGCACATCCTCCCCGGCCAGCGCGGATGCGTCGACGCAGCCGTGCCCCGCACTCAGAGGTGCCCACGGAGAGCAGCACGTGTTGGATACCCACACCCGTAGGGTGCCACGTGTGAGCTCACCCAGCCCTGCTCTGACTCGGGGCAAGTTTTGGGGCTTGGGACCCGAGCAACATCCATCGGTCCTAGCATAGCTTGCTAGCTTGGGCTGGGAGTTGTGCTGACGTGGTCGTGTGGCCGGCAGGCAGGCAGGCAGGTCAGATTGCAGGCAGAGCATCCCCGTGTCCCCTGCGGACCTTGCCACGGTGGTACGGTGGCAGGCAGAGACCGGCCCCGCAGGTAGGGCCGGGCGCGACGGTTGGGAGGCACGGAGATGCCGCAGCCGCGTTCGCTTGCGCTGAATATGCAGAAATGGAGTTGGGAAGGCCGGTCCGCTATGCGAAACCTCAAAGTCGCTAATAAAGCGGTAATTAAAAGCACTTGGAAAGAGCAGCCCTGCCAGAAGGAGAGGCAGCGACACAAGAGCCTTTCATTGTTCAACGGGTTGTGCCCATTCATCGGTGGAAGGCAGCCATGGAGGCTCTTGGCCTCCGTCCCCTCTGCCCAACGTGCAGGGTTGTTTATTCTCCCAGTTATGAAACGCAGCAGAAGGGCCACACCAACACGATGCACCAAGAAGAGCGGGTCTGGGCCTGGTCCCGCGATGGAGCACGGACCCAGGAGCAGGAGCCTCCTCTCTCCCGTTTTCCAGCACCAGGAGGTGGCTGTGGTGCCGGGGGCTCCAGCCCTGCTCCTCGCCCCTCAGCCCGCTGGTGGCACGGCAGCGGGCAGAGCCACCCTGCTGCTGCCACCTCCGGGGGAAGCCTCCCAGTTAGTTTTCAGCCCTGATTCACTTCTCCGGTGCGGGGGGGCAAAGACCCATGTGAAGAGAGAGGACTCCTCCACGGACCGGACTGGTGTGTGCCGCTCTGCTAATCGTCTTCTATTGTTTGCAGCTTAATTACACCCGACCAGGGCTTCCAAAGCTCAATCCGAGGCTGCTGGAAAACTGGAAGAATGAAGTGAAGGAGAAGGGCCACATCAACTGTCCCAATAATGTAAGGACCGTCTCTGTTCTTCTCTGGTCTCAATCTGCGGGAGGAGAGGGGAGTTTTTGGGGTAGAAACCCACCAAAGCCAGGTTCTTTGGTGGTATGAAGCTAGCAGTGATGCTCAGACCCTTGTTTCACCTCCTCTCCCTGGGGTTCCTGCCATGCCTGGTTGAAGCGTGTCCCACCTTTGGGACCCTCTTGGTGTGCTCAAGCCACCAGGCTTGGGAACCGGGCCACCCTTTCCCCAGGTGTCCTTGGTC